CCTCCTCCTCTTCCTCCTCCTCTTCCTCCTCAGCTGATGGCGTTTGTAGCAGAAGAGAGGAAGCGCTACACGGTCTATCCGCCCCCCGAGCAAGTCTTCACCTGGACGCAGATGTGCGACATCAGGGACGTGAGTAGAGCTGGGGGGTCGCTCCGGGTGCCGGTGGTTTGACGCGATGAAGACGCAGGGTTGGACGTGCCGTCCGCTGGATGCGCGAACGCGGGCGTTTGATCTGTCACGCGGATCCCGTCGTTTCTCTCGTGTAACTTCTTAATCCTGGCGTCTCTTTTCATCTCCGATACTGAAACGTGTTTTTATTGGTTATTACCCTCATTCACCACAGAATTTCCTTTAAAACTTTAGATGGACTTTTGACCTTATTTCCAGTGTTACCAGCTTAATGCGGTGCTTGATTTATGGGTCTCGTACATCTCTTGGGTTTTTTTAATTGATGTGTAACGAACTATAGTTAAAAAAAACAAAGACAGCGTTTAAGGTAATGCCATTGCCGATAAGCTGTGTCAAAAAATAGCGCAGCAAGTGTGGCATAAAACTAAAAGTGAGGGAAGCTACTTGGAAAATACCTTCACAAGGTGTTTTATTGTGGCTCTTTGGAAACGCCGGTCCTTTGCACTCCACATCTCTTCGTGAGCTTAGCAGCAAAGCTGTGGTGATGCTAATCCTTGGTGTTAGGTGGGGACTGTGTTCTTTCACTCGTGTATAATGAGATGACAGGAATTTAACTTCAGTTCCTGGGGTTTGGTGGTTTGGGTTTCATTTTGCTTGTGTCTGTGTTTTACTATAAAGCTCATTTATAAGCTTTTTTTTTTTTTCTTTCCCTCTTTTGGGTATAATACTGTTTATAGTTCAGTGCTGACAAAGGTCTACTTTCAGGTAAAAGTTGTCATTTTGGGACAAGATCCGTATCACGGACCTAACCAAGCTCATGGGCTCTGTTTCAGCGTCCAGAAGCCTGTTCCTCCTCCCCCCAGGTAGGACAGAGCTCAATTCGCAAAATCCCTTTTGTTTACAAATTATTTGCAGTTCTGCATTACTTACGGCCGCGAGTCAGGTAATGATAGGAAGCATGTTGCGACCACTGAAATTTGAGTTGTGCGTTGCCTGGGAAAAAAATCACTGCAAAATCATGGATAATTCTATATAGTTTGATATTCTGAAGAACACGCTGGGTGTAAATTTGTGTATTCAGTTTTGCTGAGACCTTCTCATTGAGCTTCTCTCCAGGCACACAAAGGGGAGGTCCTTGTTACCCCGCTTCTACAAACAGCTTTATTATCGTAAATGATAAGATTAAAATCAATACTTTTCTTGAACGGTGTAAGAGCAGTACGTGGTGCTGTCTGCTCTTATCTTTAACTGTGCATATTTAAAATCTGATGGTTTTGTTTGCAGCTTAGAAAATATTTACAAAGAGCTGTCTACAGATATTGAGGACTTCACTCATCCTGGTCACGGTGATCTAACTGGCTGGGCCAAGCAGGGTGAGTTAATGGGCACTCCAGTAACGCGTCCGCTGCAGGTCCTGAAGAAGCCTGGCTGGACAAAGGATCCGTGGTTGGAAACGGTCCATTTGTAAAAGAGAAAATCCATTCTGAGCTCCTGTCGCTTAGCGGGTGCCTTAGAATGAAAATTTAATTTATGCTTTCTCAGAGGAAGTAAGAAAAAGCCCGTTAACGCTCGATTTATGTTTCATCCTCTGTGTATCCGCTCTGTTTGGTAGGAGTGCTCCTACTCAACGCCGTCCTGACGGTGCGAGCCCACCAGGCCACCTCGCACAAGGAGAGAGGCTGGGAGCAGTTCACGGACGTGGTGGTGTCCTGGCTCAACAAGAACTTGCACGGGGTTGTCTTCATGCTGTGGGGAGCCTACGCCCAGAGGAAAGGCAGCTCCATTGACAGGGTACGGTCGCTCTGCATCTCTGCCCTCTCACTAATTTTTTTCTTCATCAGTTGGGCAGACACTAGAGGGCACTTCCCTTCCAGAGTTGGGGTTTTCTCTCTGCTTGAACCCTACCGTCAACTTTAGTTGCCCTTCTCTTCCAGCTTAGCCTTTGCCAGAATTAAGCAACAAAAGTGGAGCAAGCGAAACCTTTTGTTGTCAGAAAAGCCTCTGGTTGAGGACAGAACTGTTTGTTTGGGTTTTTTTTCTGGGAAAAGGCTCATACATAAGTGTAAATGTTGTGTTGAGGATCACTGCGCTTGAAAAACGGCCAGGGTATTACTGCTGCTTTACGTAGTCCGTCCTCCCCTGCTCGGTGGGACGAAAGTCTCGGTCCTCATGGCCGGTTCTTTGTGTCCTCGGGCGGGCGGCTGAGGAGGTGGAGAGAGGAAATCACACCTGCTCGCTCGGGGCAGAAGCAGCCAGCCTTGTCCAGGGAGCTGAGAGCATGCAAATCTAACGGGCAGTTTCCTCTAACGCTTACAGAAACGCCACCACGTCCTGCAGACGGTTCACCCCTCGCCCCTCTCTGTCAACAGAGGGTTTTTCGGCTGTCGGCATTTCTCGAAGACGAATGAATTGCTCAAGAAATCCGGCAAGAAGCCCGTTGACTGGCGAGCGCTCTGAGCTGCGCGCAGAGACCACGGGGTCTAATGGTTGTAACAGCCCCTGTTTCGGGGGTTGTCTGGTTTCTGAAAAACAACTGCTGACCGGAGAATTGCTCTTCAGATGTTGATCAAGGAACAAATGGCCAAACCTTCAGAGATGTTATATTTTTTTAAATTTTTTTATTTTTTTTTTTTAAAGAGCAGATTGGAGTGTTACGTGGACAACTTCTCTGCTGTCTGAACAGGTCTCGGCCTAGTTTGAAACAAACAAACCAAAAAGTTCTATATTAATTCGTGTTCTTTGTTGTAGTGGGAATATATTTTCCGGCTCTTGTGAAGGGATGTCAATCCTTACAGCTGAAGCTGTTCAGCTTTTGTAAATACCCTGCTGCGCCTCCTCCCACCCCTTTGCTTCCTGCTGTGCAAATCCAGATTTCATACTTGGGGGTGTGGAGCTGACTCCACGGGGGGGAAAAAAAGGCAAATGCTGTTTGGTCTCAGCTTTTCACTGCAGATGATGAGATTTATTAGAAATACGGCCTCTTGGCACTGTGAAGACCGTACGCTGTCAGAAGTGTTACCTGGTGTACCGTACTCTCAAGATTTTGGGGTAAATCCCCCCCAGCAGCCGAGGGCAGACCCTGGCCGAGGCTCTGGCTGCGCTCAGAGATTTTGTTGGCATTTAGGGAGGAAAACCATCAGCTTCTGGGTTCTTGCTGGGTGCGTTAATCAGTCACTTGGATGACAGCTGAGCTGTGGTGACCACGAACTCTGTGGTCCCTGCCGATGGCAGCAGCGAAGGTTTGTTCGTCCAGATCCGCTGATTGAGGGGCCAGCGGTTGCAAATTATTTAGGATCTTAAAAGATCCTAAAGCGGAGCGAGTTCTGTGCTTTGCCTTCACTGGAGCAAATCGAGGTTTCTGGCCAGCGTTGAAAATAGCTGCCCGGACTCCAGGATGAAGACAAGGTTGGACTTGGCAGATCTGGGTTTCCAGTTCATCTCTGACTTCATAATTCCTTTAATGGAAGTGATGTGCCTTGGTTGCTGGGAAATTACATCAGTTTTTATAGAAAACCCTGTAAACCTTTCTTTGGTATTTGCTCCCGTAGGTGACACTAGTCCAAGTGAAGTTTACACGTTCTGTGGCTGTTGTGGTTTTTGGTTGGTTGGGGTTTTGTTTGGGTTTTTTCCCCTCCCAGTTTGTTTTTTAAATAAAAATTACTTAGTTTATGTTGTGGTGTGATCTTAGAGTGATAGGAAGGAGGGAGGGAGGGAGGGAGGGAAGGGTGCCCGAGCTGAGGCCCTGGCTCTGCAGTGGGTGCTGGCTCTGGGGGCGTCCGTGCTCCCCCAGGGGTTCCCCCCTGCTCCCCTCAGGGAGACAAAGCCACAGGAGCTTCTTCCTTCTCCCCGTGACCGGGCGCAGGGCCAGGGCACCTTTGTCCCCCAAGGCTCGGGTGTCCCCGGCCGTGCCAAGCTCCCCCCACACACACACACACTTTCC